AAGTGTGCAAATTACATACTTGGTCTTTGCTGTTTGTCTAACATAATTACAGACGGGCCTTAGAGATCTTATACTTCGTTGTTATTGGACCTATAATCTAAATGCCACTTAGAACAGAAATACATTTTTGTAAGTATGACTTGCACACAATAAAAAATAGGTCACCTTGTGAGGGAAACTTCTGAAGCAATTGGAGTCAGGACTCAGAGAGACACGAGGAGAGCTGGAGCTTTGATGGCAAACACTGACGGTTTATTTGGAGACATTTCACAGGCCACGATTTGACCACACGGTAGAGATGCCACAATCAATTCTGAAGAACCCTTCTGTAGTTCGACGTTTGAACTAGTTCAGAGTGTAATAATCAACATTCTTCAATAGATAGACTAAACAGCTGAGAGACACTGAATCACATTTGTTATTGCTTATGGCTCGGGGTCATATACACCCCGAGAAGGATGTTTTCCAGGTGTCCCATAACAATAACTATCTCTAACCGAGAGTTGCCCAGTCATAAACTGGTAACAACAACAAAATGCTAGGGCAGCCCCTCCTTAAGGGAGATAACTGCTGCTCAAGGCTGGGCATCTGCGTCTGAGGGCGAAAGATGACATGCAAGGGAAATTATTCCCCAACAGTTAACTATAGATACAAGGCCAACTGAATTGTAGGACATCTGTATGGATGTGACAATAATGATTTGATAAAAAATGTAGTATATATACTATATACAGTGGGGCAAAAAAGTATTTAGTCAGCCACCAATTGTGCAAGTTTTCCCACTTAAAAAGATGAGAGAGGCCTGTAATTTTCATCCTAGGTATACCTCAACTATGAGAGACAAAATGAGAAAAAAAAATCCAGAAAATCACATTGTCTGATTTTTAAAGAGTTTATTTGCAAATTATGGTGGAAAATAAGTATTTGGTCAATAACAAAAGTTCATCTCAATACTTTGTTATATACCCTTTGTTGGCAATGACAGAGGTCAAACGTTTTCTGTAAGTCTTCACAAGGTTTTCACACACTGTTGCTGGTAATTTGGCCCATTCCTCCATGCAGATCTCCTCTAGAGCAGTGATGTTTTGGGGCTGTCGCTGGGCAACACAGACTTTCAACTCCCTCCAAAGATTTTCTATGGGGTTGAGATCTGGAGACTGGCTAGGCCACTCCAGGACCTTGAAATGCTTCTTACGAAGCCACTCCTTCGTTGCCCGGGCGGTGTGTTTGGGATCATTGTCATGCTGAAAGACCCAGCCACGTTTCATCTTCAATGCCCTTGCTGATGGAAGGAGGTTGTCACTCAAAATCTCACGATACATGGCCCCATTCATTCTTTCCTTTACACGGATCAGTCGTCCTGGTCCCTTTGCAGAAAAACAGCCCCCCAAAGCATGATGTTTCCACCCCCATGTTTCACAGTAGGGTATGGTGGTCTTTGGATGCAACTCAGCATTCTTTCTCCTTCAAACACGTCTAGTTGAGTTTTTACCAAAAAAGTTCTATTTTGGTTTCATCTGACCATATGACATTCTCCCAATCCTCTTCTGGATCATCTAAATGCTCTCTAGCAAACTTCAGACGGGCCTGGACATGTACTGGCTTAAGCAGGGGGACACGTCTGGCACTGCAGGATTTGAGTCCCTGGCAGCGTAGTGTGTTACTGATGGTAGCCTTTGTTACTTTGGTTCCAGCTCTCTGCAGGTCATTGACTAGGTCCCCCCGTGTGGTTCTGGGATTTTTGCTCACCGTTCTTGTGATCATTTTGACCCCACGGGGTGAGATCTTGCGTGGAGCCCCAGATCGAGGGAGATTATCAGTGGTCTTGTATGTCTTCCATTTTCTAATAATTGCTCCCACAGTTGATTTCTTCACACCAAGCTGCTTACCTATTGCAGATTCAGTCTTCCCAGCCTGGTGCAGGTCTACAATTTTGTTTCTGGTGTCCTTTGACAGCTCTTTGGTCTTGGCCATAGAGGAGTTTAGAGTGTGACTGTTTGAGGTTGTGGACAGGTGTCTTTTATACTGATAACAAGTTCAAACAGGTGCCATTAATACAGTTAACAAGTGGAGGACAGAGGAGGCTCTTAAAGAAGAAGTTACAGGTCTGTGAGAGCCAGAAATCTTGTTTGTTTGTAGGTGACCAAATACTTATTTTACCGAGGAATTTACCAATTAATTCATTACAAATCCTACAATGTGATTTCCTGGATTCTTTCCCCCCATTCTGTCTCTCATAGTTGAAGTGTTCCTAGGATGAAAATTACAGGCCTCTCTCATCTTTTTAAGTGGGAGAACTTGCACAATTGGTGGCTGACTAAATACTTTTTTGCCCCACTGTACTATACTGTAAATATTACAAGATAAATCCATCACCATTTTTTATTTTGATTGGCTATTGATCATCTAGTGTAATACAAATCATTTTGATTTTTAAAACTAAAGCATGAAGCTTATAAACCATGCAGGCTACATTACACATAAGTATGCAAACAGATAATAAAAAAGATACTCCTGCAACAATTAATATCAGGCATACATTGTTCATATTATGCAATATAAAATGTTGAGTATTTCTCTATAATTATGTTTACAGCACTGAAGATCCAGGTGAGTGGTGCCACGGCCAACCTGCTTCACACACTCAGAGGTTACATTCTGACCTGCAGAGGAACATTTAATGTTAAGGTAAAGTTGTGTTGTTACTGTATGCATGTTTCCTTATATATGTTACTGAAGACAGGATAATAAAACATTTAATATCTATTTATCAATATTTAAACAAATGTGTACATCTCATTTGTAGAGTGGCTTTTAAACCTTTTTATTTGTTTGTGTTATGCAGACACGTATTTCTATTATTTTGTGAATCAAAGTCCTATCAATCAGGATCTATTGCAGGACTGTTGCACTTTATGCCCTTTCATTATTTGGTATATGCTGTAGACTCTATGAAAGACTAATAGATGCAGCGAGAAACATAATCAAGATGATAGCCTCCCTATTATTATATCTTTATTGAACAAGGACAATGCATACAAATACATTAATCTAAAAAAGAGAAGAAAAGTTATCTGCCAGATCATAGCTTAAAGCAAATGTCCATCTGCAAATATTAAGACAAGGGATTTGTGAGTCCGAGAAAAAAGATCACAGGAAAGTTCAAAACTTCCATGCAAGTGAAAATATACTGGGTGTGTCTGTTATTTTCTGTGCTTGTATTGAAGGTTTGTATGATCCAGCTCCTATACCCCAGCTGTAATTTAAGACCTTTCTCTGGGTAGTGCCAGTGTGATTATGGGGAGGGGTTTCTTCTCAGTCCCAGCGGACAGGGCGGCTGACACTTGTGATGTCTTGTTAAGGGGTGGCCCCAGCTGCTGCTCTCTCCCCCCCCCCCCCCCCTTCAACCCTAATGGCTTTATTTCAAAGGGACACATGCTTTGCAATATGACTCTCTTCTCTCTCTCAAACACTCTTTCATTTGTTCTTGACCAAACAGGGAAAAGGAGACATGACAACCTGGTGGCTTGAAGCAAAGAGTGACGACTTCACAGACCCACTGCTCAATACATCTGTTTCCTCAGGATTCCCTGTGTCCGTTAGTGACTAGCTCTGGGTCAAGCTGAAAATGTGATCATAACTGTATATGAACTGGTCAGGCATTGTGTTGTGCACTTTAAATTGTCCAGTAAAGTATATTGAGATTAAATGTGCAGAAATACTGATACTAAAAGTTTACTATGAATTTAATGTCATACTGTACTGTAAATCCAATAGATGTTACCAATCAAGTGTTTAAAAGTGTTTGTCATTATCACGGCTCTATTGTTGGGACAAGATGTGATGATGAAAAACCCTCTGATAATACCTTGTAGAAGTTACTAGAAATGTCTCCAAAAAAAAAAAAGATTATGCAGAGAATCATGCCAGAGTTGGGCAAATGCTTTCTGTTTTAAATTGCACATTATCATTATACTCATATTTAGCTTTATTTCTATTTTTGCAATCTAAGGCACTTGAAAATTAAAGGTAAAGGGGATATTCACTGCCTGAAATGTAAGATATTTTACAATAAATACATTAAACTGTATATCTTATTACTTAGATAAACTCCATCTGAATCCTCACAGATCAAACTGGTATCCTTTTGCACAGGACAAGCATTGGCATAAATAATAAATATTGATTTGTATTACAATTATGGCACCAGTTTTACACATGTTGCATCTTGGAAATAGAAAAACTGAGCCATAACGCTATTAGTTTACATTTGTTTTTTTTCTGCTAAGATGAATCATTATGTATTTTAATGCCTAAATTGTCCTTAAAATGTGTGTACAAGTAGCCTATTTTGGAGTCAAATCTGCTTCACACACTCAGAGGTTACATTCTGACCTGTAGAGAAACACTGTTAAGGTAATGTTAAAGTTGTATTATATATTATGTATGTTACCTTATTTATGTTACTGAAGAGAGGGTTATAAAAAATAGAATATCTATTCATTCATATTTTAACATTTACCTCTGTCAATTTGTAAATGTGCATTTATCTAGTGGCTTTTGTCTTTTTTATAACCACTTTGTATTTATTTATTTATTTGATTCAGTCTTGTTGTTGTTGATGTAGAATAGGTTAGTAGATTATGATTTAAATCCTTAATGTATTACTTTTATCAATTAAGAATGTAGTCTGCGGAAGCTAGGGTGTTGTTACTGTACCGTGTAATAAGCAATTGTATTGTATTGTTTTTTATATTCATTGTTAAAATTGCATTAAAGTTACCCAAGGTCATAATTGTGTTTATTCGACTGTTTTAATACTAAGCTTAAGTCATCATTAAAACGGTTAATAAAAAAGAATTGTACTTCAAAACACTTGAAATACCTTATACAGCCAAGAGCCAATCATATTGAGCCGTGTACCGTTGCTAGACAACGAACCAGCCAATTAGCGTGCTGTTTGGTTTGCGTGCACTGGAGTGGACTGTCATTCGGACCGACATGGCTTCAGGAGCTGCTGGATCGGGAAGCTAGGAGCAGACATTTGGGGGGAACGCTTACAACTGCAACGTTAAGTATGTAATCGACACATTTTTGTATTCTCTTTTTATTAACATTTTGAAACTAGTCAGCTTGTTTTGCTGAGACTTGGTTTCAATGTCAAGTTGTTTTCGGGTCACTCAGATGGTAGTTAACGTTGACCGACTGCTGTGTACTATAAAGGAACAGCTTAATGTTTGTTTTGCTTTATTTTTTATTTAAACCAAAACATGATCTGTTGAGTGAACGGTGTGCTGATCATGCATTAAGGTTACACATTGTCATTAATGACATTAACAAAACAGACTTACTTACAAGGCTATTCCTGGGTTTTGTTTTTAGCTTCCAGGAAATATTTTACTTAAATAATGTGACAAAAATAGTATTTGTTTTTGCAAACTTAACTGTTAAAAGTAAGGTAGGATGACTTAGTTTATTCTCTCTGATGAGTGTTTTTACAGCCTTTTCTGGCCTGCCAGACTACAAACCAGCATCTGCACACTGTAGCCTACTCCTCAACTCATCTACAGTACTCAACTAAAATTATGGTTCTTGTTTTATATTGTGTACCAAAAGAGAATGCAAGTGAACTGTTGTGTGCAACTTTACAAAGTGCCATTATCGTCTAAAATGCACATACAAATAAAATCACATCATACATGGCCCATTAGGACCACAAACCTTTGGAAATGTTAGAGTGGCGAAGTCCCTCCCCTTCCGGTGGACCTCCATGGGACCTTATTTCGGAAAAATTATGTATTGAAGTCAATGGAGAGAGAAAGATTATCTTTCGATCCCGTTTGAATTGTGCCACGAATTACACATATGATGTTTGTCAATTTAAAAGATAATTTTGCAAGTCAAAAAAAAATAATGTGTCGTAAAACTGTGAAGTAACACATTTGTTTGTGTGAAACGCTGAATGAACTACATCTCCGGTCTAGCAGAACAACTACTGTCTTGTCAACAAAAGGATTGACAATCCTCACTATCACCACAATGAAACACGTCCAGAAGAATGTCACGCAAAGCTGCCTGCCTTCCTCTGATTCTCTCTGAACTGCCTGGTCTTTTTAATGTTTAATGTCAACCATTTGTGCAGATAGCGTGAAGTAGAAAAGATCGCAGATGCTAATGTAGCGTTAGCATTTCTCCCCCGGGCTTAAATAGTGTATTATAGAATGATCACACCGGTGTGACAGTACTCTTCAAAGGGTTCACGAAATATGACTACTACTCTTACTGTTTAAAATGTTGGGTTACTTAATGTTACTTCATGTTAAGGCTAATACAAATGACATGGCTGTAATGCTAACTAACGTGCTAGCTACTAGCTAGGTAGCTAACTTAATCCAGCCACTCCTGGTTCTTTCATCAGACGGGAAGCGAAAGAACGAGCAAGACCCATTGCTGGTATGATAACAACCTGGTACTAAGCACACAGGCAACTTGTTAAAGTTATCTTATCTTAGCCAGCGCTGATCTTAGCTACCTCTTAGTGGAGGAAAACAGTTATGACATCACTTACGCGACTCTGGGATTTGTAGTCTTTCTAGTTGCGTATTTTTCATAGTCTTATATTTCAACAGTTTTACGACAAACTGACTTTTTTGACATGGAAATTATTTTTTAAGATTGACAAACATCATATGTGTAATTCATGGTACAATTCAAACGGGATCGAAAGACAAGTTTTCTCTCCCCATTGACTTCAATACATTATAGGCTTGTTTGAGACAAGCGAGACCTGCGCAGACCTGCGCAATTTCGATCAACGTCTTGCTAGTGCGTTGCATGATGGTTAGTCATTTTGTCCGACTTGCTCTGGAGGCTCGCCTACATGAGACGTTGAAATCTCGCGGGACAAAGACGCCCGCAGCCTTGAGAGCAAGGCGCGGCGAGGCGGCGCAGTTCCTCTCCACGGGCTGCGGAAGCGAAATGCTTGATGGGAAACGACTCGCTGGTATCTCGAGCTGAGCGCTCATTGGTGGTTTTTACCCCGTGCTGCTGATGAAACTCTCCAATTGGCTCGGCAAAAGTTTGTTGTTGTTTTGTGTCAGTTTTACGTCGCCACTTCCAGTCACATTTTTCCACAATGTTTATCATCATGAAATTAATATCTATATATTTTATACTATACTTGCACTGCTTACCGTTTTCATACTTTATATATCTTAGCATATTCATACACACTGTTCATACTGCTCACAGGCTGATATCTAGTGTATTCATACCCCTCACTGTTTATTCATCATTCAATTAATTCTATATTTTATTCTGTAGATTGTGTACATTACTTTTCACTTTACTGCTTGTTGCACCTGGTTAGAAGCTAAACTGCATTTCGTTGTCTCAGTACCTGTAATATGTGCAATAACAATAAAGTTGAATCTAATCTTGAGCAGGAACAAATGTAGGCTATTTACTTAGTACATATCTGACATTAACGATTAAACACATTTGTGCATTCTTTATAAATGCAAACCGAGTCCAGCCGACTCCGGAGGTAGCGGTATGCACCTTAAAGTTGTTTGCAATCCGCCAAAAAACCGAGAGAAGAAGAAGACGAAGCCGACTCCGAGCTGTCCGACTTCAGGCGAGCTTTTTGAGACCTCCCCCGGCTGCGATCGGCTATTCTCGTCTACTTTCGAGGCGAGCCGCAACGCGTCTCAAACAAGCCTATTTTTTCCGAAATAAGGTCCCATGGGTCGGAAGTAGATGGGCGGGACTTCGCCTCTCTATACTGAAAATAAGTTTAACTAATGATCTAAGGGTTAACACTTGTTGAGTAGTCAGTCTAAGCAGCATAGGCCTGTTAAGCCCTTTGACTGTAGGCTTGCCATCTGTCTCGCCATGCTGATTAAGTATCACCTAAAACCAAAGGGTAGATCTCCTGAGATAAAGCTGACTCATAGCCTTTTTGTAAATGAAATATATAAAACATTACATTTACAAAATGTTCTTCATAAAACAAGTTATTTCTAAACTTAGTTTCTGCTCATTATTTGATAGTATCCTTTGATATCAAAGGATCAAGTCATACTGTAAAGTGTATATATAATACTAATTGTGAGTGATAGCTACATGTCTATTTCTGGAGCACATCGGCATTGATCATACTAAAAATGTTTCTTATTGTGTGGTTTCTAGACAACTCCACATACTGTGTGTGTCTGGGATTAGTCTGATCAGCTGACTATAAGAGCATTGAGATAAGATGCCAGCCTGGTCCAAGGCTGTAACCTGTTAAATATTCTTGCAATGACAACAGTGTAATACGGCGATGTCATCATCATAATGAGCTTTGTCAAAGACATTCTATAAAGAAACATTTTGATTTAAAAACATTGGATGGCTGTCAGTACACTATGCAATCACCATTGCTTATGATAGATAGAAGAATTAGCTCGCATAAATCTGCTGTGCTTACACTCTCTCATCAAGGTTGCTGCGTGTTTCCACCCGTCATCACTACTAGTTCACTTCCATTACTTTGTAATCCAGACTGTGTTGAATGAGCACTGCTAATCTGACTGTCTATTTCAGGAGCACTGACTGCATAAGTGGCTCGAAGGCTGCACTGCAACAATGCCGGAGTCCTCCTCGGGTGAGTATAGATATTGACATATTTTTAGTTCTGTGAATGACACTCTGTAAATAAGACAAATGCTATTGTACTCCATAGTATTTATTATCACCTTTACATGTCTCACAATGGACCTATTATTTTTGTAATGTGACTGTGTTATCATCTTCAGTTAGATTAACTGAAGTACAGTACTGCAGTGTTCTGCCATTACGAGCATTGTACAGGTTACGTTATACGTTCTCTATCTTGTGTATCAAATCTAGTGAGTTGGGAACAGGTTAAACTAAAACCCACACATGAACGGTGAAGATTACTCTTGGTTTTTGTTGCAAAAATAATCTCAGTTGTTATTATGTGTATGAAGGGGTTCTCTTTTCTTGTTACATTAGCAGAAAGCCATACTGTGACTATTTTCTTCCTCCAGAAGTCATGGACATTCGCAGCAGCTCCGTTGAATATAGACCATCTCCCTTGAGACAGTTTAGCCAATCATCGCTGCCACTGCACAGAGACTACATGCTCAGTGACTTCTGCACCGAGCACAATGTGCAGGAATGTCTATCTCACATCAATCAGGTAAGTAACATCAAGTTCTCAAATTCTTTGAGTTATTGATACGTACATGCTTGTAGTTAAAGGCTCGTACAACATGACTGCAGTGATCTTGACTTGACGTGTTGATTGTCCTCCACATCCTTTTCTTCCTTTATTCCCCCTTATACAGGAGGTGTCGTCTCTTGGCCTCCCACCACTTTGGACGGAGGCGAGCGGTAGCTCAGAGATGAAGGTCGTCCCTGTGCTAAACTGCATGTATGACCTGATTCAGTTGCACCACAGGGGCCTCCGGACCTTGGAAAACATGGAGGTGGAGCAGCTTAAGACCAGCAGTAATGTGGACTTCTTGCAGCTATCCAGCACCCATCTAAAGGTACTATTACATATTTTTTCCAAATACAAATATAGATAACAAGACAAATGTTTAACTAAAACTAAGCACGTCAATATTTTCTTATCAACATTGAATAATAGCTCTTATATAAATGTCTATGTTGTTCTGGTACAATAGGAGCAGCTCGAACTGTCCAAAAGAGAAAACACAGGACTCCTTGAGAGAGAACGGCAGCTGCAGCTGAAAGTGAAGACTTTGCAAAACAGCCTAAAAACTGAAAAAGAAGAGGTACTTTTATTAGACTTACTGCCTTAGACAATGTTGAGTGAATTCAAAAGCAGATTTGTGTGGCTGAGGTTGATAAACATTTGTTTTTATTTCCTCCTGTCAGGTGCAAAAACTTCAAAACATAATTGCAAGCCGAGCCAGCCAGTACAACCATGAGATGAAAAGGAAGGAGAGAGAATTCAACAAACTGAAGGAGCGCTTGAATCAACTTCTGGCTGACAAAAAGGAGAAGAAACAAGGTATAAGAGACAACATGCTCAGCCCCAACCTTTAACATTTTAAAATCAAACACCATTTTTATATATACAAGATTAAAATGCACATGCACTTTTAAATGTAGCTTTCTTTTCCCTTTTTGCTTCCAGCCATTGATGTATTAAACAGCATTGGAAGAGCTGATGGGAAGAGAAGCCTTTGGAAAACTGTAAAGACAGAAGCCAAGTAGGTTCTCTTCTACTGACTTTGTTGTCCAGTCATTTTACATTTTCTATTAATCTTGTCTCTAAAGACATATTTGCATGCGTAAAAATGTGAAGAAACAAATGTGTGACACAGATTTATTTTAGGACCAAAGGCTTCTAACAGGGTGGCTGAATGTCACGGTAGTTTTAAGTGATTTTCCCTGTAGATGTGTTATGTATATGAAATTGGAACAGACAAATGAACACAGATGATTATCTTCGTCCTCCCAAGGCATGAGGGGGAGATGTATAAGACTCTGCTGAGCAACTATGACACCAGACAAAGGGAGCTGCTACTGGAAAATGCAGAGTTGAAGAAAGTGTTGCAGCAAATGAAAAAAGACATGGTGTCCATTCTGAGTTCAAGAAAAACAGCTCTGAGAGGGGACAAACATCAAGATGCCGGCAAACAGGTAGGAGGTTGTTTTTCATAATAATAATACTAATAATAATATATCATTTATACATCACTGAATATAAAAAAAATACAATAGAATATAGGTTATTCAATAACCTATTGCACGGTACAGTACAACAACACCATACAAAACCTACTGCAGACTCTACATTCTTAATTTATAATAGTTTTAAATCAAGTGTTTGAAACATATCTATTCTACATCAACAACAAGGCTAACTAATAATAATAATAAATCATTACATTACAGGTTGATGCAGAGGAGGAAGAGGAAGTGTTTGATTCCAGTAAAGAAAGTGTAGAGCTATACTGTGATCAAGCCCGGGAAAAGCTGACCAACAGTATTCGCCTCCAGTGGAGGAGACTTAAGAGCCACGTTGAAAGATTGGACAGCCAAGGTAGTGTTCATGCAGCATACTTACCCTGTTTGACCCTGATACATGAAGGAATTTAACTTTGTATCATGTAAGTATTCCAGATAATTTGGATTCTTCTGAAAGATAGTGTTTGTAGAAACCTTGTTCAACCTAAGATAAACTGACATAGCTACAGAAGCATGCTGACATTTTATAATGAAGCCAAAGAATATGAATTTGTATGAAAGCAACACAATTACATGGATTTTACAATGGCATTACAGTCAAGATCCTTGCTTCCTGTCCTTTAAAAACAATACATAGAAAACGGATGTAAACTTAATTATATTTCCTGGGTTGTTTATTTAGCATCTTTAGCTCAGATGGGCGAGAACACAAACTCTGATGCTGTTGCCCGAGAGACTCATGAGGACGAGATGGACAGACTGAAGCTGGAGATCCAGCAGTGCAAAGACTTAATTCAAACACAACAGCATCTCCTGCAGGTAAAACTGACATTTGCCATGACATTTTAGACGTTAAGATCTCTGGTGAGTTTATACATTCTGGCTAAGAGTGCGTTTTTATTCTTGCAGCAGCAGTTGAGCTCTCCGTGTGACGATGAGACGGCCTCCCTGCTGAGCGACTGCTTCATGCTACAGGAGAAAGAGCGCTTCAGAGAGGAGTGGAAGACCCTTGAGGAACAAAGAAAGATATTTGAGAGAGAAAGGAGGAACTTCACTGAAGCAGCTATAAGACTTAGCCATGAGGTAATGAAATACATTATATTTTCCCCAAAAATTGGTCCGACATTTTGGAAACACAGCACATTTTACTCTGTAAATTAGCAGATTGAACAATGACTGGTTTATATCTGTGTGCTCCTTTTTAAGTGTAATATGTGTCTTTGAAGTGATTTGTATCTGATTTACTTTGCAGAGAAAGGACTTTGAGGACGACCGGGCACTGTGGCTCAAACACCAGTTTTTAAGCTTGAGTCCATTTGCTGACTCAAAGAAACCCCAGATGTCAAAATCTAAGAGTGCCTTTTCAATTTGTGAGGGATTTGTCAGTCTTTTCTAATCCTTTTCCAATTTGATATTAGCATTTTCAAGTTGACTGTTAATTGTAATTATAAAACTGAATTTAAAGATATTATTTAGGATAGTGTATAGTTTATCAGTCAATTCAACAATGTGCCCATTTCATTTCTTTATACCACAACTATAATGCAAATGTAATCAACTAAATCACTTCTATTTTTTTAAATAACTATCAATAAGGGACTTCTCTGACAGTGATTAATAAGGTTCATCCTATCTTTGCAGCTAAAACAGAGGTGAGTGCAGAGACGGATCCAGAAAAGCTAATCAAATGCAGGTCTGGCGCAACCTCCCCCATACCCAGATGTGTCCAACTCACACCCCCGCCAACAGACGACTTGCATCGGACACTTTGCCTTATGCCGGACAACAGGTACACTGTCTTAATTTGTACATTATTATTGCATAATGTATCTACATTAATGCAGCTACTGTGTCTCCCTAACTAACATGTTTTTATTTATAGATCAACCAAACCAAAGAGAAAGGTTGAGCACGTTGAAGAATCACAAATCTCTTTTAATGGAAATATCCCAGTTCAGTGCAAACAGTGGAACGACAGTGAAGACCAGTACAGCCATTTACTCCCAAAGGAAAAGACCAGCTCTATATGAAGCCAGACACTTTGAATATTGTTCATGTCCATTGATTGTGGTTAGTTTGTGGTATTTTAAAAATAAACCTGAACTGTAAGGCCAAACACTTGAAGAAAGACGGTAAAAAGGAACAATATCTGAAAAATAGCCGTTAATGGTTGTAGCCAAACAAGAGTTCTGGTTAGCTGCTGGTGTTCAGTGTGACTGATTTTTGACTATTCTGACTATTTTGATGTTGTAGTTTTTTACATTTGTGACATATGTATTTATTGTTTGGCTGTTATATCTAGAATCTAAGTCTGAGACAAGTATTATTTTCCAAAACATAATTTGTCCCTGTATTGTGATTTGCTTGGTCTATGTTAATGGTTGCTGTTGCGCCTTAACTAACCTACATGTTGCTCCCACAACTTTGACATATTTGTTCTTATCATGTTTAACTTATTACCTGGCACACATTTTTTGAATTTAGAGTATATAATGCTGCTCTTTTACTGAACGCAATAAGAAGTATTTTTCTATAGTTTGATATAGAAATGTGATAAACTTCAGATAAATAACTAAATGCATTATATTGACATCAGGAATCTTATAGGACAATATAAATTATTCTCACAATTGAATTCAACTTGTGTTTTTATTTCGATAGGCCTAACATTAACAGATGTGAACAATTCCTACTATCCTAATGTGAGATGAGTTATTCTATCTCGACAATCTTATATTCTTAAAGTCCTTATTATATATCATTCAAACACGATTTTCTTTTGTTTTTACATGTATTTGTCTCTATGGAATACAAAAAACTGGTTCACCTCTACCAGGCAAATTAATGGTGGCCTTAAGGCAAGACACCCCAGGTGAATAGGGTAATTTTTTAACTTAAAGGTATCAGCTAGAAATGTCTCCAGTTCATTACTTACAATAAGGCAATTGTTTTTTGTATTACAAGTTTTCTGAAATAGCATGTTTAAATATGCAAATGATCCATTATGTCATTAAATATGCACATATTTTAATACATTTCAGGAATCGAAATCTGAACTTTGGATAAAGCCAGGTTCAAAATTATTATTTCATTTTGTAGTCATATTAGTATCTAAGGCTTTTACAGAAGGGATATTGGATATCGATAGTTACGGCTGTAACTACGGTTCTATGAGTCCCGGATGACCGCCAGAGGCGGTGCTTTTAGCACTGGATATGTCCATCGCACGCATGCGCAGTTCGAGTACCTAATAACAACAAAGTCACCTGTGACCCACGTGACTACGGCTACATAGGCCGGCGTCACTAGTGGATCGGTTCCCAGAATCTTCTCGCGAGCACACAAGAATTCTGAGTGACCGGAAACTTTGGCGGTCATCCGGGACTCATAGAACCGTAGTTACAGCCGTAACTATCGTTCTATTTCGTCCCTACTGACCGCCAGAGGTGGTGCTTTTAGCACTGGATGACTATACCAACCATGTCATGAAGAATCCGAACACTTGCTTACCTAGCTGGAAGCCGTGGAGCTCGGCAACAGGACCACGCCCAAAGGATGGGGAGTGGCGACATTGACCTGGTAGAACCTGGAGAATGTGCCAGACGATGCCCACGACGCCGCAGCGCAGATGGTCTCCAGGGACACCCCTCTCAGGGCAGCCCAAGACGTTGAGATGCTCCTTGTAGAGTGATATCTCACCCCTGATGGTGGGGGGCGGCCACTGGCCCCACAGGCATGTGAGATTGTATCCACAACCCAGTGGGATAGCCGCTGCTTGGAGAGAGCACAGCCCCTTCTCGTGCCGCCATGGCAAATGAAGAGCTGCTCTGACTGTCGTATATGGGCCGTAGCACCAATATACGCCTCCAGGGCACGCACAGGGCACAGCAACTCAGGCGTGCCGTTCTCCTGTGGGACGTTAAAGCGTGCCAGCTGGATAGGCCGATTGGAGTGGGCTAGTGGAAGCACTTTGGGCAGGAACGCCACGTTCGGCCAGAGGGCAACACCCGAGCCATCGGAGTTCCACCTCAGGCATGTATCGTTCACGGAGAGGGCATGTAGCTCTCCAACTCGTTTCCCTGAGGTCATGGAAAGCAGAAATGCTGCCTTTAAGAACAGCCACTTAAGCTCCACCTGGGCCAGGGGCTCGAAGGGAGGAGATGATGGGGCATCCGGCAGCAGGGGCAGGTCCCAAGCCGGAGCCCTCGGGGTGCTAGGGGGATGCTGCCGTAAAGCCCCTCTCAGGAAGAGGGACACCGACCTGTGGCACCCCGCCGTGGCACCGTCGACCCGAATATGTCGGGCAGAAATAGCAGCCACATAAATTCAGAGTGGAGTGAGAACGCCCACTGTCTAGAAGGGACTGCTATCTGGGCAACAGCGTACCTGCTGTCCCAAGGAACACGCACATTCTTGCCCCCCAGTAGGGGTAGAAAGTGCGTGAGTGCAAGCTGCACAGCCCGAAGCTCTAGCACGTTGGCATGGCGTGCACCCTCCTGGGCAGACTGACCCTGAACGGTCCTGCCCTGCCGTACTGCACCCCACCCTGAGAGACCTGCACCTATGGTGACGGTCTCCTGGCGGGATGGGATAGCGCCCATGGGCACGCCCATCAGGAGATAGGCCCCTCCAGTGTGACCGAGAGTGGAGGCAACGCTGCGACACCCTGACTTCCCTGCGCCTGTGCCACTTGGCGTCCAAGTGAAGGCTGTTCAGCCACATCTGCATGGGGCGCAACGCCAGCGGGCCCAATGGCCGAGGCAGCCTGCCCAAGGGCCGAAGGAACTGAATATAAGGCACCATGTTGCCCAGCCCACGTGGAAGTAGGCATCCCTCAATTCCACGGCTGTGCATGTGCTGTGGTCAGCATATAGAGTGGCAGCACCTTCAGGAATCTGTTGATTCCTCTGAGGTCCATGATCAGGCGAAATCCGCCGACTTTCTTGCTCACGAGAAAGTACGCCGAGTAGAACCCCCTGGGCTAAGCAGAGGGTCTACTGGCTCGATTGCGTCCTTGGACAGAAGGACGGTCAACTCTTGGGCCAGAGCTAGGGCCTCTGCTGGATCGCTGACGACTGTCATTTTGGCCCGGCCAAAGGCTAGGGGCCGTAACTGCGGTTCGTACCCCTGGGTTAAGGTGAAAACCACCCACGGGTCGGAAGTACAGACAGCCCAGTAACTGAGCTGCTGCTGGGAAAGCAGCCGACGACTGTCCCCGAGAGTCTCGGTAGGCCAGACCTGGCGACGAGTCTGCACCAATAAGGACATAACTCGTCTCCGTTCCCTAGACATTAGGGCAAAGGCTTACAGTGATGCATCACTGAGGCCCAGCAAAGAAGGCTCAGCCGGCGCCTGCTGCAGAGAAAGCCAGTATCAGATGCGTGCCGCTGTGTCGTAGGCCCTACAGAGCAGCTCGTTTGTGACCCTGCACTGAGGCCGAGGACACCTGGCATCAGGAGCCCGAATCGGGGAGGCGATGGCAGGCTCAATGGATGGCAAGCGACCCAGCCCCACCCTCGCTGGATCCTGCCTGGCAGCAGAGTGGGAGAGGGCCCTGGTGTCTCTCCAGCCTGCATGGAGCTCCCTCAGGTACTCCTCTGAAGGAGGAACAGTGGGAGTGAAAAGGGGCAGGGTTATGCCTGAAAAAGGCGCTAGCCTGAGCCGAGTCGGCCTGCGGAACCTGAAGCTGCAAGCGTACCAGGGCTGCACGAATAATGGCCGCCACGAAGGCGTCCTCCGTGCCCTGCAGAGAGCTCTGAGCAGAGGAGTGGGAAGCCTCCTCGTGGGTGAGCGGGGCCCCGCCCCCCCTTCATAGAAGAGGTTTGTCCAGAGCCGCTAGCGACATGGCATCCTCAAGTAGAGGTGTGGCAACCGAAGGAGGGCCAGGCGGCAAGCTAGTAGCCCCCGCACCGGCCCCTGGCTGAAGGGCCAACAGGAGCGACTTCGTCTGCTCCATGACGGCAGCTAACCGACCCACCTTAGAGGACAGCCTGTTTCTAGCCCTCTACCTGGGGGGTGAACCCATAGCCATCCCTCCATCAAGTCGCCGGGAACGGTCAGACTGAGCTGGAGGAAGTTGTGACGAGGAGAGTTGCCACCTCTCCGACTCTAGCCACTCTGAGCGCCCGAGGCATGAATCTACAGCTCATGCAGGCGCTTTGCGTGAGACCCTCCCTCAAATGCTCGAGGCCAAGGCAGAGGGGGGCAGCGGTCATGGCCGTCCTCGGGCTCAAGAGAAGCCATACAGGCGCTACATGAATGAGCCAGTCTATAGGTAGCCGGATGCAGCGTAGCCGGGAGTGGGCGCGAGAACACAGCCTTCCCCAGCTACCTGCTGAACGGAAAGAGTAGAGTAATGCTCCTACTTGCCGAAAACAAAGAGGGATGTAACTACACTCACATTACCGGCAGAGGGAGCGGGAGCGAGAGCACTGCCTTCACCTAGCTGGATTAAATAAAGACGTTTAACAGGACAGCTTAGCCGTGCGGCTGCTGCTAGAATCAAGCAACACGTCTACCAGGAGCGGGGGCGAGAACACTGCCTTCACTGGTTGAGTTCATAACGAATGCCAGGTGCAGTGTACCCGGGGGCGAGAACACTGCCTTCACTGGTTGAGTTCATAACGAATGCCAGGTGCAGCGTACCCGGGAGCGGGTGCGAGAACACAGCCTTCACCGGCTACCTGCTGAACGGAAAGAGTAGAGCAATGCTCCTACTCGCCGAACACAGAGAGGGATGTAACTACACCCACGTTACCGGCAGAGGGAGCGGGAGCGAGAGCACTGCCTTCACCTAGCTGGATTAAAAAAATAAGCTTAACGGGGCAGTTTAGCCAGGCGGCTGCTGCTAAGTATCAAGCAGCACGTCTACCAGGAGCGGGGGCGAAAAACACTGCCTTCACTGGATGATAGGGGTGTAACGGTTCACAAACATTTCGGTTCGGTACGTACCTCGGTTTTTTGGTCACGGTTCGGTTCGGTACATTTTCGGTACAGCAGAATTTTTTTTCACAAAATATAACATATATATATATTTTTTTATTATTATTATTAAACTGTGAATAATGTATTCACTCAAATAAATACAAAATATAATAAAATAAACATTAAGGTGCAGCATTTCGACGAACTGAAATAATCTGTATTTGAACTGTAGCCTACTGTACTAGTACCTAAGCAGCCAGTTTGACATTAGGACTTGCTTGTCATTGTATTTTCATGTTTTTTTTAAAGAAAGATGAACTTGTCCACATTGCTTGCTGAAAGCGCAGATCTGCTGGCACTAACAATGTCTGCTGCTGTGGAGAAAACCCTCTCGCTAGGGACAGAGGTAGCAGATACAGTCAGGTAGCGCTTTGCTAACATGGCAACATAAGGATATTTGGCGTTTGTAATAGCGTTGGCTCGGTCTGAACTTTTTGCGATTGGTGGAGGCTTAAATGCTAGCGTGAGTTGGGTTTGCACTTCAGTCTTTTTTCTTTTGGTACCGGTGATATTCACGTTCGGGTGATGCCTTTTCAAGAGTGTGCAAGTTTGATGTATTGCCAGCCGCGTAACCAATTTTAGTTGAACAATGCCGACAAACAGCGTTGGTTCGGTCCACCTGTCTTTGTCCGTCATCCTTGTACGTAACTG